ACTTGTTATGTAGAAATCGAAAGGATATTGAATAGCCGACCGCTAGTGCCGTGCTTATCGGATGATGAGAAAAGAAGTGCACTGTCTCCGAACAGTTTATTGTTGCCGCGACAAACTTGGAGCAGGCAACTGATCCCAACCCACCCCATCGGATCACTAGTCGCGAGAGAGTCTATAAGTTACTTATACGTTTTGCATTGTAAAACGTTTTTACACTTGACAGCGTACAAACACATTAAGTCTGCGACATCGATAATTTTTCTTTCACCTGAGTATTCATATGTGCAAACAAAAACAAAAAATCCTTTTGCAATCGTTTTTATTATTTTTTACCATGGTTTACGTTTTTTCTCTCTATGCATATATACACTTTAAAAAACAAAACAATCTCCCAAAAAACCTTGCGGATTTTGTATTATGTTTGTCTTCGCCTCACCGATCAGCTCCAACAAGGGCTGCTTTGATCTTCTTTCTTCCGTTCTCTCCCAGGCACTGTATTCAAAAACTGCCACCAAGAAAAGGCAGAGAAATCAAAACCCGTGAAGAAAACTTCGACCAGCAAGAAAGAAGATTGGCACATCCCACACCCTTCCCACGGTTCCAGCACAAAACGGGTATCAGAGGGTAGGCGCGCAGCATCCAAACACGGCTTTATTAAAATATTCAAGGTAACTTGATCTATCCTCATTCTTCAAGCCATGAAAATATCCCAACTAGAGACCACTGTCTCTCAAAAATTAGTTCGCTCATTAAAGACCGTAAATGAAACGCCGGTTTCAGTACGGCAGCCAACAAACAAAATGATTCAAGGGAAATTAATTTAACTAAAAAAATAATTATTGGTTATTGTAAATGAACGACTTATCGGGAGGGAAACGTACCCATACAAAATCTTTAGGAATCGCACCTTCCATACAACTGTCAAAAGCTATTTTAAATACTATTCTGAAACTAACTGACTTTCACGAAGGTGTCTGTGATTATTTCGTCGGTAATACTATGGAAAGACTTCGTGGGCATAGCATGAAACTCTCCATACTGCGTGCCCGTGGACTAATCCGCCAGTTTGCTCCCATCCACGGGGTCATTCCACCTTGGAATTGGCTCGACAACGAAGTTTGGTAATGCCCCCACAAAATCCGATCTCAAGGGGAATCTATACCAATATCTTGGTCCCTGAACGAAATTCATAACCAAAAGACAAACAAATCAAATTGGCGTGACCCTTAAAGGGCCGTTTTCAGTCACTTTGGGCTTTTGACGTTCACGCTCATCGACTGAGGCAATGCACACAAATGTATGCTTCATCTTCACTGTAAGAAGCGCAACTGCTGTGTGTTCGGCACCCGCAGTTCTCGCACTAGATCCATTGTTTTTCATCATCCAAATCGACCGTATTCCACGCAGAATTGCAGGCACCGTACGTCAACCAATTCGCACTTGAGTGACGCGTAGCCGAACCGATACGAATCTCGAAGTAAAAACACAATTGATCCGCAATGTTCCATGGTACTGAATTAACGATTTCTTTACAAAATGTACAATAAAACAAACCTCAAATATGCGGCCAAAAGCACTCAAACAAGCGAGCCAAATAAGATGTCCAGAGAGAGGCAAACAGTCGCTCCCGTTCTCAAACCACACCAAATGCAAATGTGCTGGGCATCCAAATTACCAGATAATTAGTGGTGTATGGTGTTTGTGATCGAGAAATGTCAATGTAAGAGCAACACACAGATAAAGTTATTTGACCAAAAATCATTATGTGTTCGGAAGGATTCTCAAAAATTCAGCACGAAATACAGACACTGCAACAGTTGGCGTTTATCGTGATGCCGGATTGGTTCGCCTGCTGCGTTTAGAGTCCAGTTTGTACTTTGATGATGTTGTTGTTGTCCGCCATCGGAACACAGCATGCTCCAGTGTGTCACATAGGACTATTTCTTCGTCCTCACTGTCGACTGATCGACTCACTAAAACTGATTTCCGCCTTTCAATCGAACCGATTATTGAAGCTACTGATGAATTATTGGTCCTCAGCTTGGCGCGCGTAGACGAAAGACTTGTACGCTTAATCTCCGTAGTCTGTGTTGCCAAGCTGTGTCTGTCGAATAATATCTGGATGTCCGGATACTTCCCAATAATAGCTGCTACACGTCGACGCTTACTGCATTGGAAAGTGTAATTCACTGTACCTAAACTATTCAAAGAAACGCCCAGCTCTTGAAGGACATCCTCTGTTTGAGCCAACGTTTATGGCTTACCCATTGTAACAGTGAAAAAGACTGAAAATTCCTCTCAATTCCCTTGCATTTCAATATCTTTCGTCGCCATTCTATCGTGCATTCTTTCCGAATGTGGTTTTCATGTTGGTGAATTTTCTCTTCTGAACCTTCTATTACACCGTTTTTACGGTGAAGCATATCTATTGAACACACACTTCAAGTGTTTTGCTCTTACATGTAAATGAGATTCAGTGCTTTTTTCTTGTTTTCTTGTGACCAAAGTTTCGATTGGACGCTCGTTGTTAAACTAACCGTTGCATTTGGTTATACTGAACCCCTTTTGGCTGTAACGCTCAAGATTGTTTTGCTTGATCTGTTGAAGCGTGCAGAAATTTGCTATTGGTCCAGAATTATCTGAAAGGTAGTTTAGATCACATTTTGGCTGGATATTGAATCAGGCTTACTATCAGAGGTATGACTGCCTTATGTATTTGTGATTAATGCAAAAATAGTACCGTAGATTATTTTTGGACCGACTTGGTTCTCGATAATTTGGGCTACGCGTTGCTCTGAGATTTGTTTATCGCTATCCAAAACGAGCGAAGGATCATTTGATTGAACGCATACAGACGAGGTCCTTTTTATTTCGCTCGGACCTGGATAATCACGTTACACCCATGACGTATCTTGAGGCCGCTAATAACGCAGTGGAGTTCTGAGCTAAATGCTTTTTGCTTTGGTTTATAATCCACCCATCTGAAATAAAACTTTGAATATCCCAATTAATCAGATCGAATACCCTGGCTATATACTAGGAGGGCAAAAACAATAGCGCATAGAAATAACACTCACACTTTGTTTTCCCCGCAGTAACTACTTTACAACTCTTACCCCTACTATCCACGCGCATGACGAACGCTCTCGTGAACAATTCGTTCAATCTTACATGACTTCCCGTTACTTAATAATATATTCCGCGTAAATGGTGTTACTCGTATGAGCAACGGTTTGAACGACTGCATGCCGGCGAGTGTCGGATAACCACTGATGCAATCTTTAGCAAGGCGAATTCCATGCGTCACTTCCAGTGACCTTACCCGTTGTAGTACTTTCTTTATTACATCCAATATTGAAGACCGAGGAGACAAGCCTGTTTTGACGTGCCTATTTTTCGTCTTCACCTGGTCGGTAGTTAGGTTTCCTAGAGTCAACCTAGTCCTCACGGTATACCCTGCCCACTGCTCTCGATGTGGTAACCAAGTGCGGCGTAAATAAACACGTGCTTTTGTGCTACGATATTCTACGGCGGCTAAGAATCTACGAAACGATATCTCACTATCACAGTACACCACGTTGCGCATCCGTTGGAAGATGCGCTGCTTTTCGAACGTTGGTGTACCAGATAGCTGGTTACATTTCTTCTTCATATCCCTAACGAGATGGAAACGACAAAATATTACTGATATGGTTTTGGGCAACCAAGTTTCAGTAAGAATCACAATATCGTTATTCTGGCTTGTAATCGCTAGCTCACCCCCATTTGTTCCCAACGCTGCACACATTCGTGTACCACAGTTTTAGGCTTTGTGGCTGGGAGACCGGTGCTTGCGGGTGTTTATCCCTCAAGTTATCAGTGCCCTAGAGCGCAAAAACCGTGGGCCAACTACGTTTTTTGACGAAACGATCCGCTCTACGTCCTGCATGGAGCAGTTACCCTTCCTTTGGAGGGACCTTAAATTGGTGGGGCTTGACGCCATTTTGATAACCGTATCATTGAATAAAGAGCCGCCCTCATCTCTAGTTTCGGTGGCAACGGAACATCTGTCATACATCCCTAGCTCCGGGCTGTACCTGGGCTCTTACTGCGGCCTTTCTAGACTCTGGAGTCTGAGTAGACCTGGACGTCATGATCGGTGTCAGCGTATATTAATACGTATTTGTGACTCAAGAAATCTTCGTAGGTCCCAGTTACAGAACAACAAACAAATGAGAAAATTACGGAGTTTTTCACTAGAAAAAAGGAAATTGCGCGGAGACCTCATCGAATTTCTGGGTCTAGATCCGGGGTCTCTCTTCACTGAAGCTCCCCACCAGGGAACGCGTGGTCATGAGCTCAAACCTATGAAACAGCGTTCTAGGCTGAACCCGCGAGCACATTTTTTTAACAATGGGGCAATGGATATTTGGAATAAACTATCGTCTTAACTGATAAAGCAAACAAACGTCCAAACCTTTAACAGAGCTCTGGACACCAGATGGTTGGAGGTTTTCCCTGACATAGGATGTTAGGTGTATTANTAATATGTAACGCTTTCACAATGAGTCTCTCGCCGACACGGTGAGAAGTAAAGTCTCTCTTTCTTTCTGTTTGCAGATAGAAAGAGAAACCGATCAATCGCAGAGGTGGACGCACACTTGAGAGCACACCACCGAAATAATTCTGAATGCTTGATTAGCCTGTGGCGACTATCAGTCCTAACCTGACCGATGCTAATGACAGCTCACCCTGACCCTCAAGAAACAGAGGCTGCGCCATCTCTTTTTCCTTTCTCTAATTCCAGAGAACTCAGTAACAGTCAAACAGGTAACAATACCACTTCGTAGGCGAATCAGTACCTGGACAGAATACGCCTTTACCAGGACACTTCACAGGCGAAGGCCTCCTCACGTCCTGATATTTGCTGCGGTACACCGGTCGTTTTCCACTGTGTGCTAAATTGTATTATTCTTTTGTGGTTTCGCGCATTTACCTGGATCTTTTCAATCAGAAATGTTTTAAGTTAGCGAGGCTTCCAAGAACAGTTGTGTGTCGTGCTCCAGGATTGGGGCCCCAGGGCCCAAGCGTTCCGTTGTGATGGGTGTGATGGGTGGCTGCACCTGAAATGCACCAAAATCGACGCAACAAAATACGAATGGCCAGATAAATGCCTCCCTCCATTCCTGAAGATCGTGTGCTGCAGGTGCTCGATCATTACATTCAAAAAGGCGAATTTCCACTTCCAAAATTTCTCTAACCCACAAAACGCCGGCGACCGTGGTGAAAGTGTTCCCGTCGTATGCAAATGTCACTTCCACTTCACTTACAAAATCAGCTCCGCAGATGCATCGCAGCAGAAGCAGCCGAAAAAGGGGAGGGCTATCGTTTGCTGCATCGCTCTCACGGACAGACTCAGCGCCCTCGTCCACGACATCCAAGCAAGATGTGTCCAACATGTCACGGACAATTGAGAGGTGCTCCCACGAATAGCAGGAACCAGTTAGAATACTGCGTGTAGGCTTAGGCGCTTTACTTGAAGAAGGATATCATTTGCATTCAGAGGGTCCAACGGTTAGGTACTAGGATGATCGCGGGGAAAAAGGGTAAGTCATATAGAGAGAGATTAAAATCCCTATGGCTTTTCTCCATGGAGCGGAGACGCCTGAGAGGCGATATCATTGAGACCTTCAAAATAATGAAGCAGCTGACTGGGCTAGAGGCGGACAGTCTGTTTACCCGAGCAACGCTCAAGTCAAAAAGGGAGCATCATCTGATGCTAATGAAGCCCAGAAGCCGACTCAACCTTAGACACAACTTCTTCACGAGTAGAGTGAAGGATGAGTGGAACCAATTACCATCTTCACTACTAGACTGCAGGACAGTCGAGGAGTTCAAAAGGCAACTAGATGGGGTCTGGATCAGTCTCTATCCTGAAATTTGGTAGGGTGCCTAATATTGAGAGTAGCTGTTCCATGCTGTCCATTTTCGAATAACCTCTTCCAGATACGGACCCCATAAGGGGACTGTTCCGGACGAAGAAATCGCCTGTGATCAGACGGTCGACAAGAAGTCAAAGCTCTGGAAGAACGTGGTTCCCGCTGAAGCAAGAATCCGGACGCTCGGTTGGCGAAAGCCTTTATCGTCCTGTGCAACCTGACCTAACATGAGGCACGTTAGAGCCCGGTTTGAGTTTTCAAAGTGCTCGTGATCGAAAGTATTTTTACTCAGCTAATTGTGAAATATCAATAGATATTTCAAACTATATATAGTGAAATATCCACTTTCACTATTCGTTTCGTTTTGTGACCTCAAAAGCACCACACCTTCAAAGCGTCATATGTTTAAGAGTGAAATATCAGTAGATATTTCATAAGCTTTTTCTCAGTTGTTGTATTGTACAGTGGACCCAACTGGTCGGCCAGTTTTACTTTTTGGGAAATTTCGGTCCCGTTTTAAGGCGGGCTTGAATCATTTTTGGCTGAGTACTTTTTCCAGAGGTTTTGCAATTTGAGATGCTTTTTTCTATATATTGCTTTTCCCGTACGATACGTGATCTGTATTCATTGTTACTAAAATAACCATAGTACAACATCCTGACGCGTATGGAGCCAGTGGTTGTGGTAGAGCGGTTAGTGATGGTATCCATTGTAATAGATGTGGCTCGTTATACCTCGAGAAATGCTCCAAGATGTTGAAGCAGTGCAGTGCGCTACACCTTCAACATCGAGAATTGAAGTGGATATGCGCACACTGCGAGGCTCTGATAGGGGCAGTAAGCGAAGCCTAAGCGATACTCCAGCGGACCCATAAGCTGAAGGGAATGTCGGTGCGGTTCCTCAGGGATCTTGACCCGGACCCGCGCAGTAAACTGAAAACTGCATTGGAAGAACCCAGGGAAAGCCGTGCAAAAAGGGAAACAGATCTGCGTATACGGGATTTTCGTGTGCATCGGAGGCGCCGTCAGCTGCGTTGGCTACTCTTTGTCGGGGAGAGGACCTAGGAGACTGTTTAACCACGGACAGGGAGATTAGGTTGAGGTGCGAATAGCGAGGTAGCCACGCTAAGCTAGCCTCAACCGATATCCGAGGGATGCTGGGAAAAGGGGATGAGTTGGAGAACTTGGTTTCATACCTTAATTCCGATGTGGTGGAGTTGTTCTTTTTGTCCCCTCGGGTCCCTCTGTTCGAGTGCTGGAGAACTACGCCCATCCAGAAGGATTTGGAGAAGCCCTATGGTGCAGAATCAAGCTTTGTGCAGGAAGATATACCGCAGTTGGAGTGATCTACCGTACACGGACTGTGTGCGTCCCGGAGCTGTTGGCCAGCATACAGAAGTACGCTTGCGATGGACACTGTCTTGTTTTGGATGATTTCAACGCGCCGCATACTGATAAGAAAAATGACATCTGCTCTCAGCACGNACGCAGATTTGTTTTCCAGAGAACTTCTTTTCGCGGCCCGGGCCCTGTCGCTTGTTCAGCATGTCTATGTGCCCACGCGGATAGTTGGGGATCAAAAATCCATCCTTGATTGTGTGTTTTCGCCGAGACAGTCAGATACGACCAGTATTGACGTCATTCCACTAATTGCATCTAGTGATCACTCCGTTCTGCGTATACACTGGGGGGGTGGTATAACCCAAACGGACAGACCACAGGACGGACGGAATGTGTGGCCCTCATTTTGTTCCGGAACTGCGTCAGGCTGCTTCGCCCGTAGATTGGGATTCCCGAGACCCTGAGGATGTGGATGTATCCTGCGAGTTGGTTCGTCATGGAATTCATCAACTCGTGCTGGAATTCTCTTCACCCCACCGCCACCGAACACACGCTATGGGCCCGCTGTGGTTTGATCGAGAACTGCGGGCGTATTCCCGGCAGCGGAATAAAGCCTGGTTCAGGTACCGTGCAACAGGCGTTGGATATAAGGAGTATCGATGTAGTCGGAATTATTGCACTGCACTGAAAAGTGCAAGAGAAACATATTCGAGGAGCGACTCGCAGCGGATTCGATACAGGCACTAAAGTGACTGTATGCCTACCTCAGCCGAAGAAACAGAGCAACGCCTGGTCTCCAGACTCTCGCCAAAGACGAGGCACTAGCCGAAAAAGATGAGGACAAAGAGATGTTGGCATCACACTTTGCCCCAGACTCCAGCACATTGGCACATCCACTGGAAACTGACACTGCCCTGGGCTGGACTCCATATACCATCGGAGAGGTGGCCGTGGACTAAAGGTTCACCAGTCACCTGAACCTAATGCTGTACATTCGCTGATCTTGAGGGAGCTGGTAGATGAACTTGCAGTGCCACTGTGCAATCTGTTCAATTTGTCATTCACTTAAGGGCATTTATTGCGGCAGTGGAAGGATGCTGTCATTGCTCCACGACTCAAAGGTGGGGATAGGAGTGATCCAGGAAACTACTGGCCATTCAGCCTTACTAGTGTTGTGGGTAAAGTAATGGAGCGACTGGTAGCCGCACGGCTTCGGCAGCATTTGGTGTGCCACGGTCACCTGTCACCAACAACACGGTCTCCGGCCGAGTCGCCCATGCCTCTCAAACCTGCTACTTGCTCGTGAATGCTGGACCGAGGACAAGACCAAAGGACACAAAACGGAAATCATTTTCGTGGACTTCAGCAAGGCCTTCGACAAGGTGCCGCACAACCGCCTTCTGCGAAAGCTAGGTGTAGGTGTGGTCATACTGAATTGGCTGAGAGACTTCCTCATCGACCGTAAATTCTGCCCCCGTGTTGGCAAATCGTTGTCTGTGTGGTATTCCCCTCTCAGTGGGGTCACCCAAGGCTCGGTTCTTGGTCCATTGCTCTTTGTGGTTTATGTGAACGACCTGCACGGTCAACTGTGCAGCCCATCCCTCGTGTAGGCGGATGACCTCAAAATCTGGCGTACAATCGAGGATCCAAATGATCGAAGTTCTCTTCAAGCGAATTTGAACAAACTGGCTCCGTGGGAGGACACCTGGGCTCTTCCAGTCAACACCGAAAAGTGTACTCACCTGCACTTGGGGCGTGCTGACTCAGAGGTAGTCTAAAATGTCCAGGGAACCACATTACGCAGGACATTGTTCGAACGAGACCTGGGTGTTATGGTTGTGTCCTCACTAAACACCCGAGATAACAATCGGGTCTGTGCCAGCGCATGGAGCATTCTGGAGCCGATTTGGCGGTCTTTCAACCGGCTCAGGATGAACGCTTCCAGACTTCTGTATGCTTCCCATGTCAGACCAAGACTTGAGTATGGTGGTGCGGCGACATACCCCTGCACGGCCGGTGAACTGGATAAGTTGAAGCGTGTACAACTTGCTGCCACTAGACTCGCTGTTAGACTACGCGGGACCAGCTATGAAGGTCGTCTACAGGCTACTGGTCTGTTCTCAGTTGCGTATCGGCTCCACAGGGGAGCTCTCATCTGCCTGAGGAAGATCCTGAGAGGTGATATGCGCCGGGAGCTGCAAAAGTTTTTCCCTCTACGGACAGAGGACCGCACGTGGAGGCACTCTCACGTTACGGAAACTTCAGTCAGTTGGTCTTCCGTTAGTCTACCGACTCTTGCGGAGGTCAGCAACACTCTGGAATTTCGCTCCGGCTATCGTGGTGGAGAAGACAGACGTTGCTTTCAAACGGCGTCTGGATGAGCAGCTGCAGGGGTCATGGAGGAACGAACATTTCTGATCGAACCTTCAACCCAGTGGTGATGGGCCTACACGGGCACCCAGCCCTCTACCCTCAATACTAAAGACTGATGTCGACACCTAAAATTCAAGCCAAGGCGTGTAGTGTCCTCTTGATAAGACGACCGTTAGGAGTGC